CTATAAAATCATCTTTGGTTTTTCGATTTCGGTTGCGGCGTTGCCGAGTTATCGATTTTTTTTTGGCAAAATTTTGAAAATCATGCTTTTATTTAGATTCTTCTAGTGACTTTATTATCAACAATGGAAAGGTCAAATTTTGAACATTAATAAAGAAAACTTTGGTCTATCGTGTGATGTAATTTTGTTATACAGGGTGTTCATAAGAAGCGATCAAAATCAAGTTTGTGATGTTTTGTTTCAGAAAACAATTGCATGAAGATGATGAGTCGCAAGCTAGCCATGCCTCTGCTGGGGGTGCTGCTCTGGGTGATCTCCATCCACGCAGGTACCTTCGAAACGGCTACGCTACTACCCCCTCCCTTAACAGGTACAAGCCGCACTTATACCCCTTTTATCATAGACCCTATATACCAGCGTGTGTTTATGTTTTGATTTGTTTTAAATTCGATTCAAAAGTCAAAAAATAAGCACACACGCAAACTGGAGAGCAAATAAAAATCAGCTAAAAGAAATACAAAAAGCTGGTAACGTTTGATTGTTAATTTTGTCTAGTGTTACAACCGTTCTCTTTTAGGTTGTTTAAAAATCACAGAATTTTTCTAGTTCTGTGCTTATTAATGGAATACAATTTATTTGTATGCAAACAAAGGATTTTATCCTGTTTGTGATTTTGTAAATTGAGGTAAGATTGTTACCCTTGTTTATATTGTTGCACTTTCGACGTGCACAAAAAGCCTCAAATAACTCAAAATCTATGCTTTTTGTGCATCGTTTTCACCAACGAAGTAACTTAAAATTACAAATTGTGAGTTATTTCGGTTCTAAAAGCCCACTTTTTCGTTCTTCCTAACGCGAGCTTTTATAGGCTTCGGGCCGAGCAAATCCATCATCCGAAACCATTGCGATGTCCCAAAAATCACCGAAAAAGATCTCAATCGTTCGGTTTCATTCGGAAACAGCGTAATCAACCGAATGCTTCGACTCGAAACAAACCTGGGATGGTCCGACGTCCATGTCAAGAAAGGTACGCCATCTTACGGCCAACTCATCGCATCGCATCCCGACGAAGAGGCCTTAAAGCAAGGCCGCGATGCTTTGGTCGCCACTAAGGCCACCATCCAACTCATGAACATATTCTGCCACAAGTAAGGCAAAAAAATTATAAAAAAAGGGTTTTCTATTCTAATAAAAAATTAGGCACCATTTGAGCCCTACCGACTGCTCTAAGTACATCAGTTCGTACTCCCTCGCGTCCACACCGCTCGAGTCCTCGTGTCAAAAACAACACAAGTCGTGTTCCCAAGAGGAACTCCTCTCGCCGTACCGTTCCTTTGATGGTTCTTGCAACAATGAGCATGATAGCCCCCGAGGGGCGGCTTTCACCGCCTACCGGAGACTCCTCCAAGCCGAGTACTTGGACGGGATCCAAGAACCCCGACGCGCTGTTAACAAAAAACAACTACCATCGGCCCGCCTTGTTAGTAGTACCTTGATCAAGGAGACCGATGAAAGTCATTCCGATTTGACTCAAGCGGTCGCTCAATGGAGCGAATTTATTGAACACGACTTGAGTCACACAGCTGCGAATAAGATGGGTAAGTTTGGGTATTTTTGGGTGTGAGTGGTACCAATGGTGGTGTAGTTCACAGTGATAGTACCATTGAGTGCTGTACATCGAGTGGTAATCACTTGTCGCCACGGTACATTCATCCGTTTTGTGCCCCCATTTCGGTACCAAACGATGATAGGTTCTACGCCCAGCATGGTGTGGACTGCATGTCTTATGTTCGCTCGATAACAGCCTTCCGTCCCGATTGCACTTTTGGTCCTTTAGAACAAGTCAATCAAGCCACCCATTTCCTGGATTTCTCACAAATGTATGGTACCACTGGGAAGAAAGCGGCCATTTTGCGCACTTTTGACGAAGGCCAACTCGATTTTACCACCAAACATAACAAAGTTTTTCTTCCGGTCTCCCATCATCCAAGCGATGATTGTCAATTGAGTGGTGACAATTCTGTTTGTTTTCTTTCGGGGGATTCGAGGGTTAATATCCAACCCCAGGTGACTGCGATGCATACAGTGTGGCTCAGAGAACACAATCGAGTTGCTAAAGTCTTGTCTGAGCTTAATCCAGCCTGGGATGATGAAACTCTCTTCCAAGAAACGAGGAAAATTGTAACCGCAGAAATGCAACATATCACTTATCATGAATGGTTACCGCTTGTTTTTGGCAAACATTACTTTAATAAAATTCAAAAGTATAACAATTATGATGAAAATGTTAATCCTTCGGTGAGTAATGCTTTCGCAACGGCGGCTGTCAGAGCTTTGAATTCGCTCAAGGATGGAAAGTTGAAGTAAGTCTTGTTTGCAACAACAAAAATTGTTCTAATGTTTGGTTTTATAGTGTGTATAAAGAGGATCGTCTAGTCAATACTTCGATCAATTTACGTAACCACTTCAACAAACCTAGTGTTGTTGAAGAGCCTGACTATTTGGATGGCTTAGTTCGAGGCATGGCCACGCAATCTAGTCAACAGCTGGATCTCAAATTTCCAGATGACGTAAGTATTACAAGATAATTAGTATTACAAGCTAAAGTCAAGATTAAAAGCTAAATTGTTAACTTAACTTTAAATTCAATGTTTTCATCCAAAGGTTTCATCTACAAATTGGTAGGTATTACAAGTAGGAATAATAGAATCGAGTTTTACAAGACAAAATAATAAGTTAAAATAATGAAATTAGCTTAAATTACAAGTTCATAAATGAGATTTTTAATATAAAACCGGTATTACAAGGTATATGATTATCGATTAAATAGGAATTTTGAGTCTGTGCCGAAGAATTTTGGTTTTTACAAGTTTAAATACTAAACAAAATATATAAAGTGAGAATTTTAAATTTTCAAGCCAAAATTATCTCAGTCTTGTTGTTTAGTCAACAGCGAAGTGACGTAAGTTATTACAAGCTAGTACTTTTTCATTTGAAAATTTTGAGTTAATAATTAGTATTACAAGCTGAAATCTGGGTTTCAATTCAGAATTTTGTTTTACAAGCTAAATTTTTAACTCAACTTTAATTTCATTCTTATAAATCGAGAGACCTATTCTACGTATTTGTATTACAAGTTTACAAGTCGGAATAATTAGATTTTTAATCTACAAATCGATATTACAAGATTACAAGATTTGGGATTATTGAATAAATAGGAATTTCGAGTTTTACGAGCTTAAATACCAAAT